CCTGACCCACTGCCAATGAACTAGTCTCGGACTGCAGAGGGACAGGAGAAAGTGCTGTCGATAAGGTGCTTAGGAGATTGTCCCTGTGTGTGTTGGTACCCGGCCATGGAGCGATAAGCACTGGAACTAGCTTTGTTGTGGATAATGACTCTCTCTCCTGGAGACACTGACAGGAATTCTGGAGTCTCAGTCATTACAACCTGTCCCCTAGAGTCCAGCTGGGGGATACAACTAAAATAAATAAGTAAGATAACATTAAAAATATTCCCACGTGCAACTTTTCCATAGTTATGATAGTTCCTCTCCTGGCTGTGAGGCTGACATTCAGCTTCAGGTGGCTTTTCCATTCTAATCTATTTTTCATTTCTCATGTAGGGCCTGAGTGAAAGCCCACTGAACCCTCTGAAAGACTCACTTCATTTTAATGGGCTTTGAATCAGTACTATGGTTTTCAAATAAAGTTTTTCTCTCTTAATTGCAGTCAAAATGTGAAAAAGGCTCTCAGTAGTTAATGCAACTCTCTGAGGATTCTTTAGAGTTTCCGATTCAAATTTCATAAATCTCTTGAAGAAAAATGAAAGGATTATTTTACTTTATGTAAAGCCAGTTCCCTCTTCTTTTGATCCTTACCGTGGATGCAGAACACTAACAGCCAGATGAGTTGAGCCTATGAGATCATCTCAATACGTCTGACTGGCCCGATGCCGATCAACAAACCGTAATGCATGAGATGGAACATTTATAATGGCTCAGAGAAGCAAGGGAATATCACTTGGGTGTGAAATATGCAAATTTTGGTCAGAGATGAAAATTCACTTCTGATACCAAATTGCCTCAGAAAAGGACTTCAGCCCCAGGCTCGCCCACACTCACCCCAATTCTGGCAGCCCAGGCCCCCCAGCTTGCGGCACTCAGATGGTGCCCCCCCACGACCACAGCGCTCTGGGCGGTCGCCCACTTTGCCCACCCATAGGGCCAGTTCTGAATGGGATGATGATGATTATGTGGGAAGTTTTTCAGTGCACTGCTCATAGCTTGAAGTGTATGATGGCCTGTGGGTGGTCAGAGATCAAGGGAGTGGTCTTACTTCCATCTGGCAGAATGAAAAGTTCCCTGTTGTTTTGGGTCTTGGATGAGTTGAAGGTCATGGGGTGATGTTGCCTCCAGATAGCGTACTAGGTGGCAAGAACAAGCTTCAAACATAGCCAGTGCCTATCTCATGACAGAGCCAACAGTCAGCCCCCTGGTTTTGACCTTCCACGTCGTCTGTGGGTAAAGATCAATCACTTCAGATGTAGCATGATCAGATATGCTTCAAATGGCTATCAGTGAGGCCGTCATGACTTTCCCCTTTGCTGCCGTGGCCAGTTAGAAGATGTAGATCATACACTTGCAGGATGCTTCCATAGACAAGGGTTGCTTGGTTCCCTCATGGACTTGCACAATGCCCTTCCCTTAGCTGTTGAATGGTTAAGACATGTATGCTAACACACTTGGCTGTCTATGTAAATACAATCACAATAAAAAAAAAAGTATCACAATTGTACTGGAAATCTCCACCCAAACATAACATCAACACTGCTATCTGCTTGATAAGGGAACTGTCATTACCCTCCGGATCCCTGTTCCTTTATATTCGCTCTCACCTCAGACACACTATTGTGATGCCTAGAAATGTAATGAGAGCCTTGATCCAGAATTTCCTGAGAACTGACCAACCAGATTCTCAAACACAGAACCATAATGTTATGTGAAGCTAGTTCTTTGCATTTAACTTTTCTTTATGAATCTCACATAGAATCAGTTCCCACTGTAAGTGTAAAGGCAGAAATGTTAACTTTTGAATGTTAATTGGGAACTGTTTAAGAACACTTTGCTGGAGGCCCAAAAGGCCACAATCGAGAAAGAAGGCTATACTTAGGCATGGCAGAATTCGATTTTTTTTGTAATTTCAATGGATAATACTGATTTTTATTTTAAGCATTTTTTATTTCAGTGACTTTAATTTTCTTGATTGCATGAAATTGAGGTTTTTTAAACCTTTTTTATGTTTATCAATTTGAATATTCACAGTTGTGGGAAATGAAGGGTGAGTCAGACAATAATTTAATGAAGGTAGATGTCAAGATTCAAACAATTAAAGCTTTATTTGTAACAAGGCTAATTTGAATGTCTAAATCACAGAATTTTGCTCATAATAAAGTACTCGGTTCCCACGACTAGGAGGTTTGAATGAAAAAAAAAAAATCTCAGGCCTTTTGTTACAGGTCCTGGAATGTGTAATTATTTGCTAGAGCCAGCAGACAATTCCAGGTTTTGAAAGTTCTCCAAATTTGAGCTTAGTCCTTATTTTAATGCATAACATTGAGCATCTCCAGTTGGTCTGGGGGGAGGCACATGTGACGTTTGTCTTGTACTTTTCTGAACAGACTGATCTTTCCACAGACTGTGAAGTTACTGGGATGGCAAGTGCAGGTACTGCCACGCTGGACATAACAGGAAATGGCTGGGATTCACGTCTCCACATTCAAGGGCTATTATGCTGTCATCAGAGGGCACATCACGTGCCACGTACACGTCAAAATCATACTTGAAATCTTGTCTTGCAAGGGAAAATAGAGACTATTTTTGTAGTTGCTAAAATTGTGAGACACCTGAACCTTGACAAATGCATCAAACACTTTACAGTTAGCAAGAAGGAATCTTGATCATAGAGTCCCTTGGGTACCTTGCAGGATATGGGTGCCTTCAGTTTACTTTGAAATTTTGATGCAAAAGCATGCATTGAAGATGAAGGGACTTGCTTTTTGTAGCCCTTTGACTTGAATTCTACTACTTTTAAGGCATTAGTTACATCAGTAGCATCATGTGAATCTCAGATAAGGGGCATATCAATGTGATGTATTAAGGTTCCTTTGTTTCCGTTTGCAAATGAACCCTGTGGATTTTTACCAAAAATAGAAAGAAAAGTTAACTTGCAATACAATTCTCACTGGTTTCCATTGTCCTTGACCCCCGGGCTTAGTTTCACTGCCTTCTTTGAGGTGACTGCATGCTCTTCTTTAATGAGGAAGTCTGTCAGGTCCCAGTGCGCATGAAGAATTTTGCTGCCTTGAGCCAGGAAAAGCAGCATTTTGGCACAACATAAGGGGAGATATGCAAACCCGATGGACTCACTTTAAAAAATGCTAGCCTTTGCCTGTTGGCATGTTTAAATATCGCTGTAAAATGTACTATACACTTGTGGTATGTAGTTGTGGACAGGGTTTGGGATTTCTGAGTATTTGGGTTATTTTTACACACAATGTTTTTCTTTCCTAGGGTTTCCCCTTCTGCCTCTGCTCAAAAAATATTAAAGGATTTATTCAAATTTAAACCAGCGTATTTTGAAAGGTGTTTTGTATCAGATATTTCTGGATCATATGAATAATGGTCTCTAGAAAGGAATAAATATGTTCAAGAATAACTTTATATTGTCTCCAAATTGTTAGTCACTTGTTGAAAGACCAGACCCAGGAACTGGGGCACTGGAGGTGGAGAATAGTCAATGGAAGGAAAAAAACCATGTCCGTATAAACCAGTACCATGATTTAGTTTTATCATATTCTGGAGACTGCTGTGACACTGAAAAAGGCTGAAAGGCCTAATTGATTTCCGGGGTATAAATTACAGGGAAGTCAGTAGGAGAGGCAACCAAGTAATCCAGGGAAGGATTGGGCCTGCAATGTTTGGTGCTGTCATGGTGGTTGTATTTGGTTGCAGATGTTGGAGATGGCCTGGCCCTTTGAATAGCAAACGGGTCTGCAGAGCAACCATGTGATGCAGTTAGCAGTTTCCCACCAGAGCCTGTCAGTGTCCTTGTCCTCTCTGCAGGGATCTGGATGCTGATGGTGCAGCTGGGTGGGCCTCAATGGGAGGAGACTCCAGTAAAGCTGCCAGCACCTCCAATGGTCAGTACCAGCTTGAGTGAAAACAGATGAATCTTCAACCCCTCGCCACTATCCCCAGCCCTAAAACTATGTCAAATGCCCTTAGCCAAAGGAGGAAATATGTTGGGCTTCTTCCTATATTGGCTCACTTGTGAACCTGACAACTGCCCAGTTTCTCCCTCGAATCCCCATGTTGCTGTGACCTTCCCTCCATCCGAGGAAAGCTGGATGCAGCCAATAGCTCCTGTCTTTTATTCCAAGTCTCTCCACATGGTAATGCTGCCAATAAAGCTCTGGGACGGCTGGCTCTGGTTTAATTCTGAATTGCTCAGACAGGTTTTACAAGACAGCAAGAAAAGAACTGTTTTGGGGAATCAGGGAATAAGATCGTTTGTGCAGGAAAAAATGACCCCCAATTTAGCGGCTACCAAAAAAACAACAACCCACATTTCTCTCCGGAAAGAAATGTCTTTAGCCGTAATCTTGTCTGGCTGGACAGTATACTTCACAATGCTAGAGTTGTCAGAGGAGTCACCAGGTGGCGCTGTTATACGTAGTCTTTCAAGTTGTTTTTCTGAATGTGTGAGCGGCTGTGTAGTTTTGGGAAGACATGCTGTGATGTTGGTTTTGGTTACGCAAAGTTGTGAGGAAAGGGAGCTGTATGAGAAGCAGAAGAGTTTCTCTGCCTGCGTGTCTGATTAGAGTGAATTTTTGAAGCAGATTTGCAGTCTAAGAACTGGACATTGGTGCTGGGATAGATTCCTGAGAGAAGGGTTTCCCTGCAGGCTGCTTGTGATTGCCTCTCTCCCAGGTCTGGTGTATATGTGAATAAAAGAAGTTACGCTTGGGATACTCAGACTCCACATCACTGATTTTCCCTGCACTGAGAGGCTGACCTGCAAGGCCGGGACATTTGTTGCTGCTTGGCACTGGGTCAACATCGGTGCTACAACCGGGACACTGGTGATGGGAAAGAGTCAGCAGTATTATGGACAGTTCAGCAAGGGAGCACAAGGACTCTGTGTGGTACTGAAAGATTTTTCAAAACACGGTCTGAAAGCTAGGTAGCGGTTACACTATGGATAGGAAGCAGCTGTTACCCTGAAAGGAACAGGATGGGGAGGTTTTTGTATTGGTCTGAATCACTGTGAGAGGGTAGCTGCGGGACTGCTGACAGTAATAATCTCCAGCATCTTCAGCTTCAACCTTACTGATTGTGAGGGTGTAATCAGTGCCAGACCCACTGCCTTTGAACCGGGCCGGGACCCCGGATTGCAGGGTAGAAGCAAGATAGATAAGGAGCTTCGGAGCTTGTCCTGATTTCTGTTGGTACCAGGCTAAGTAGTGATAGCCACCACTGGTGAGGCTTGAACTGGCTTTGCAGCGGATAGTAACTGTGTCTCCAGGAGACACTGCCAGGGATTCTGGAGTCTGAGTCAGCACAATCTGCCCGCTGGAGTCTGAATTAAGAAACAGAATATAAATTAGTATGTATATGTATAGTCTCTCTTTCTCTCATATGTATCAGATATGTCAAGAGTATAGTTAATCAAAATAAACAATACTTTGATTTTGATTTTGTAAACTTTCCCATGTTTTCTTTTACATACTTATGATAGCATAGTTGTCAGAGGATGAACTAACATTAAGTTTGAAGTGGCTGTTTCATTCCAAGCTGTCTTCAATTGCTTGTATTTCCCTCACAGTTCCAATGAAAAGGAGAGACCCTTCTCAGAAGTTACTGTCACTAACTCATATTTATGGATTCATACTGAACATTCCTAGATCTGTTAAGTTTTTCTATGGATCACTGTAGTTTAAATCATCCCATGCCTCCTTCATTTGATTCTTACCCTGGATCCAGAGGACTAACAGCCAGATGAGCTGAGCCTGTGAGATCATCTTGATACGTCTGACTGGTGTGATGCAGATCAGCAAACTGTAACCAGTGACATGGAACATTTATACTGGCCCAGAGCTGCAGGGCAGCGTTACCTGGGTGTGAAATATGCAAACCTAGTTCAGAGAAAAAAAATCCCAGCTGACCTAAACACATGCAGAAAAGGGGAAATGAGAGACCGTGGATGAAATAGGCAAGTTTGACCTGTCTGGCCCTAGGAATGCATCCTCAACTTTCAATAAAATGGCAGTTCCATTAATAGTGATGATGGTGCCCCGAGGTCCCTGTCTTGATCAGGACCCTATTTTGTTAGGTGCTGAACTACCCCATATTAGGTTACAGTCCTTGTCCCTCACTTTGTGTTGAAATTTTCTCAGATCATCAGTATTGCATGGTAGCTCGTTTAATAAGCTGACAATCATTGTTATACTAGGAATATCCTCAGAAAGGTGATATCATTGGTGTTGTCTCCCTGTATTAGTTGATCTATGTAGAGGGCTAATCCGTCCTTTAATTACTATTCCCTACTGGATTTATTAGTCATCACCTTTGAGATCCCATTAAATAGTTTGTAGCCCTGTAGCGTTGCTCCCCATGTTCTATGTAACATTGCTTAAAGAGACCGTGATTTTCTTTCCTGGAGATTTAACGTTAGACTCTTACGTCCATATTTCAGCCCTTGAAATATTTGTCCTCATTTTTCAAATTGTAGTATGCCTAGCCGCTCCCCCTGGAAAGTTAGCTGAATGTGGCCACCTAGAGTCAGTTCCATGGAAGTTCAGCCTGTTGTTTAAAAAGGTTTAGGTATAAAAGCGGCCATTCAGTAAATGTCCATTTCCTGTGCAGAGTGTAGTGGGGTAGAGCTCCCTGCAAGAAAATACTGTATTTTGTGCACAAACACACCAACTACTCATAACTGCATCAAAATACCTTTCAGTGATGACATTCTCGAGTCTAAGAAACGTGTTAAAAGAATGTTTGTTCATTTTTATTGCCCCCAAATGTTAATTTACCTGCTAGAAGAATAGATCAGGGAAGTGAATATACTTTTGATTGTCTCTTATTTGTTTGAACAACATATCCAGTGTACTGACCAAGTGAAAGGGAGCCCCTCCCCACTTCTAAAACAACATTACAGTATTCAGAGTAGCAGCCGTGTTAGTCTGTATTCGCAAAAAGAAAAGGAGTATTTGTGTCACCTTAGAGACTAACCAATTTATTTGAGCATGAGCTTTCGTGAGCTACAGCTCACTTCATCGGATGCATAAAGTGGAAAATACAATGAGGAGATTTATATATACACAGACCATGAAAAAATGGGTGTTTATCATACACATTGTAAGGAGAGTGATCACTTAAGATGAGCTATTACCAGCAGGAGAGTGGGGTGGGGGGAGAGAAAACTTTTTGAAGTGATAATGAAGGTGGGCCATTTCCAGCACATTTCCAGGAGTTAACAAGAACGTCTGAGGAACAGTGGGGGGAGGAATAAACAAGGGGAAATAGTTTTACTTTGTATAATGACTCAACCACTCCCAGTCTCTATTCAAGCCTAAGTTAATTGTATCCAATTTGCAAATTAATTCCGATTCAGCAGTCTCTTGTTGGAGTCTGTTTTTGAAGGTTTTTTTGTTGAAGAATAGTCACTTTTAGGTCAGAAATCAAGTGACCAGAGAGACTGAAGTGTTCTCCAACTGGTTTATGAATGTTATAATTCTTGACATCTGATTTGTGTCCATTTATTCTTTTACATAGAGACTGTCCAATTTGCCCAATGTACATGGCAGAGGGGCATTGCTGGCACATGATGGCATATATCACATTGGTAGATGTGCAGGTAAACGAGCCTCTGATAGTGTGGCTGATGTTATTAGGCCCTGTGATGGTATCCCCTGAATAGATATGTGGGCACAGTTGGCAACGGGCTTTGTTGCAAGGATAGGTTCCTGGGTTAGTGGTTCTGTTGTGTGGTTGCTGGTGAGTATTTGCTTCAGGTTAGGGGACTGTCTGTAGGCAAGGACTGGCCTGTCTCCCAAGATTTGTGAGAGTGATGGGTCATCCTTCAGGATAGGTGGTAGATCCTTGATGATGCGTTGGAGAGGTTTTAGTTGGGGGCTGAAGGTGACGGCTAGTGGAGTTCTGTTATTTTCTTTGTTGGGCCTGTCCTGTAGTAGGTGACTTCTGGGTACTCTTCTGGCTCTGTCAATCTGTTTCTTTACTTCCGCAGGTGGGTATTGTAGTTTTAAGAATGCTTGATAGAGATCTTGTAGGTGTTTGTCTCTGTCTGAGGGGTTGGAGCAAATGTGGTTGTATCGTAGAGCTTGGCTGTAGACAATGGATCGTGTGGTGTGGTCAGGGTGAAAGCTGGAGGCATGTAGGTAGGAATAGCGGTCAGTAGGTTTCCGGTATAGGGTGGTGTTTATGTGACCATCGCTTATTAGCACTGTAGTGTCCAGGAAGTGGATCTCTTGTGTGGACTGGTCCAGGCTGAGGTTGATGGTGGGATGGAAAGTCAATGGGAATGGTAGCCAGGTAACCCGGGGCAGGACGGCCCTGCCGTGTCTGTCACCCATTTATGTAGGGATGTTGTAGTGTTTATTTTATTTGGTTGTTGAAGACAGCGTTAGGGAAGGCCTGGCCCTTTCAGCAGGAAGCTTCTCTGTTGAGCAATCACATGATTAGCAGGTTCCCAGAGGATTTTACTCTCAGCCCCAGTAGAAAGGGGATCGGATCCATTCCCCTCGTCTCTGAGTTGCTCCTCAGTGATTCAGCTCAGTAATGTTAGTTATGCTGTTTCTCCACAGGCCCCTGTAAGCCCTTCTTGGGGACCTGACAACTTCCCTTCCCCTCTCTAAGACCCCCAAATGTACCACATTCCCTCTAACAGAGGAGGGTTGAATACTCCTAGGAACCTGCTCTTGTCATGCCATGTATCTCCGTGTGGGTTGCTAGGAATCGAGAGAGTTGTTCCTCCCCAGCATCTGAATTCACATCCTCTCCAGGCCTCCCAGGCCTTTTAAAATTTTCAGTAGATCATTGTACTTCATCAAATTCCTTGGTTTGATCCTTACCCTGGACGCAAAGCTCTAACAGCTGGATGAGCTGAACCTGTGAGATCATCTTGATACGTCTGAGTGGCCTGATGCTGATCAACAAGCCGTAACAAGTGACGTGGAACATTTATAACAGCTCAGAGCAGCAGGGGGCGGTCACTTGTGTGTGAAATATGCAAATTGGGTTCAGAGATGAAAATTCATATCCAGTTCGCAGACATGCACAAAAAGGGAAGGGGCCGGGTTAAATTGGCAAGTCCAACCCCACAGTCCTGGTGGCAAGAGCCTGTCTGTTAAAATGACATTTGTCGGGAAAGAATGGCCATTAGTTTTCCTAGCAATAATAATGTGCTGGGTTAGTATCACTGTTATGCTGGAGATCTCCTCACAGTAACCATACAAATGGTGTGAACACTCTGACAGACAAACTGTACTGCATGGGGGAGGGCTGCAATCGGAGGTGAACACAAATAGCAGGGGTAAATCATGATTAGCTGAATCTGTGCCCTCCCCTCCCCTCCTTATCTATGTCTAGGTATTAGCACTAGGGCTACTACAATTGCTGCAACCTTCTCTCTAGCAGAGGAGGGCTGGATGCATCTCTTTGCTGTGATTTATTTGTATTACGTAGTGTTAAGAGGGGCTAGTGTGGGATCAGGACCCTGCTTTGTTAGATGCTGTACACACACATTATGAAAAGTCAGTCACTGCTCCAAAGATGCTACAATCTAAGTATAAGATAAGAGACAACAGGTGAAAGGGGAAAAAACCACTGGAGCAGAACAGCTCAAGGTAACAGTGAGATGGTTTTGAGAAGTTCACAAGCAGCCATTGCAGCAACCTGTCCTTGTCATTGCGTATGTCCACCAGAGTGGGTCATTGGAAAGCACCAGGAGCTGTCCCTTCCCTCCCAGGGATTGGACCCACTGTTTCTGTTCCCCCCTAGTCCTTCCCAGCTAGAGACATGATCCGAAATCTATTCCCCACATGGCAGCATTGCTAATAACAAGCGGGGATGACATTTTCTCCTCAAATCCTGAACACTCAATCTCTGTCAAGCAGCCAGTAAGAATTACTTTGGAAGCAAAGAGTAACATCATGTAAGCCAGAAAATAAATGCCACCCTCGATCACATCATGTAAAATCCCTGCTTCATACAAGGAAATTTCTCCAGCAGCAAACTCATCTGGGCTGTCTGCTTATTTTAAATTGTACTGTAGGCTGGGGAAGAGTGGTAGCACAGAGCGGTTGTGACCCCCGGAGCGAGGTCCTGAAAGGCTGTTCAAATGAAGTATAGCAGCTGGCCAGAGACAGTGACTGTTTAGTAAGTGAAATGAACAGCACAGGGAAGAGTTTGTACAGGTCTGAATCGGGGTAAGAGGAGTTGCTCTTGCTCTGTTGACCATACTATTCTCCTGTATCTTCAGCTTCAACACTGCTGATTGTGAGCGTGAACCGAGACCCACTGCCAATTAACTGGGCTGAAACCCTCTAGGCAAGGATAGAAGCACTATAGATGAGGAGCCCAGGAGCTTTTCTAGATTTCTGTTGGTACCAGCCTATATCATAGATTGTAAAAATATTTCTGTGGCTTGAACTGGTTTTGCAGTTGTGTGCAACACTGAGCCTGCAAGCTTGTCTTGATGGTTCAGAGCTGTCCAGTGCTGATCGATTAACCATGGAGAGTGAAATGCAATATTTCTTTGTACTGGGAAAAGATCATGCTCAGTGCAGCAGGAAAAGATCAGTCAGATGTGAGTGTGCAAAGCATCTTGTCTCACTCCCTGTAATATAGGCTTAGCCCTTAGATCAGCGATTCTTGAAATCATGCCCCTCCTTAGCATTTTGTTTTTATTTGGAGGCTGCCCCCCTCCTCTTTACAACAGTGAGGATACTGCCACCTAGCATTGCTAATGTGTTTGTATCAGACAGCCCTTTAAAAGCACACACCTTAATTGCCACACAATTTT